CAGGTCTCAGCAGATCTTCCCTAACTTAACTAATTCTAAAAATTCAAAGGACATAGTGGCAGGGCTGGACTGGGGATACAAAGCAGCCCTGGAAAAAAAATCTATACCAGCCCCATAAATCATTGTGCCATGTATTGTGTGATTTTATACATATATATATATATATATAAAATGATTGGAAATGACCTCACTCAAAGGACTTGATGATAGTAAAAATAAAATGTATGTAAGGCTATGTCTTGCCACTCCAGATGTTTGATATATATATATATATATATATATATATATATGCAGGGCCGGATTAACATAGGGGCTGATGGAGCTGCAGCTCCAGGCCCAGGCCCATGGAATAGGCCCATTGATTTATTTAAAAAAAAAAAAAACATTTTTTTTTTTTACATTTTTCTTTTCTCACACACTACTCTTACAATTCCACCTGGCTTTTATTTTATTGGCACAGCCAGTATTTGAGGCTGCCTGGCTGGTGCCAATAGTACAGTGATACTGGCAATACAAATGCTGGTATTTTTCTCAGTATAAACAAGAGATTACTGTGCAATACCAGCACTGGCCAGTAGGGGTCGCTGTGTGTGGAGACAGGCAGGGATAGGAAGTTCCAGCATATCCCTCCCTGCCTATCTATACTCACTGATCTGCAGGGGTGCAGCTACAGAGAGTCCAGACAGCAACTCCCACCCTGCAGAGACAGCCTACAGCTCAGGGAAGTAAGGGATGGGGGAAAGGCTGCAAGGAGACATACACTGAGACACTAAGGGACATTGGGAGATACTATGACACAGACACATGGGGACACAGTGTCCCCATGTCTCCCAGCAAGTGTCCCTGGTGTCTCAGTGCCCCCTAGTCTCCCAGTGCCTCCAGTCTGCCAGTGTCTCACCGTCCCCATGTCTCCTAGTGCCTCCATGTCTCCCAGTGCCTCACGTGTCTCAATGTCCCCATGTCTCCAAGCTAGTGTCCCTAGTGTCTGTGGCCCTGGTGTCTCCTTGTCCCCATGTCTCCCAGTGCCCCCATGTCTCCAGGGCCGGATTAACATAGGGGCTGATGGAGCTGCAGCTCCAGGCCCAGGCCCATGGAATAGGCCCATTGATTTATTTAAAAAAAAAAAAAACATTTTTTTTTTTTTTACATTTTTCTTTTCTCACACACTACTCTTACAATTCCACCTGGCTTTTATTTTATTGGCACAGCCAGTATTTGAGGCTGCCTGGCTGGTGCCAATAGTACAGTGATACTGGCAATACAAATGCTGGTATTTTTCTCAGTATAAACAAGAGATTACTGTGCAATACCAGCACTGGCCAGTAGGGGTCGCTGTGTGTGGAGACAGGCAGGGATAGGAAGTTCCAGCATATCCCTCCCTGCCTATCTATACTCACTGATCTGCAGGGGTGCAGCTACAGAGAGTCCAGACAGCAACTCCCACCCTGCAGAGACAGCCTACAGCTCAGGGAAGTAAGGGATGGGGGAAAGGCTGCAAGGAGACATACACTGAGACACTAAGGGACATTGGGAGATACTATGACACAGACACATGGGGACACAGTGTCCCCATGTCTCCCAGCAAGTGTCCCTGGTGTCTCAGTGCCCCCTAGTCTCCCAGTGCCTCCAGTCTGCCAGTGTCTCACCGTCCCCATGTCTCCTAGTGCCTCCATGTCTCCCAGTGCCTCACGTGTCTCAATGTCCCCATGTCTCCAAGCTAGTGTCCCTAGTGTCTGTGGCCCTGGTGTCTCCTTGTCCCCATGTCTCCCAGTGCCCCCATGTCTCAATGTCCCCATGTCCCCCAGTAAGTGTCTCTAGTGTCTGTGTCCATGGTATCTGTGTCCCCATGTCTTCAAGTGTCCCCTATTTTCCCAGTGTCCCCATGCGTCGAAGCCAGAGTCCCCTAGTCTCCCAATGTCACTGGTGTCTCCGTGTCCCTGGGTCTCCCCGTGTCCCCAGGTCTTCCCGTCTTCCTAGTGACATGGGGGCCCTGGGATACATGGGGACACAGGGAGACATGGGGCATTGAGACACTGTGATACATAGGATCACTGGGAGACCTGGGGACACGACACTAGGGGACACTGGGAGTCATGGGGCACTGAGACACTGATACATAGGAACACTGAGACCTGAAGTAATCGACACATGGGGGCACTGGGAGACATGGGGCCAATGGGAGGAATCCATCTATACAGCAGAATCAAACTAAGTAGTTTTTTAGTGATTTTACAGCATTTTCTCTTATGTCACTCATGCGATGTCACCCATACATATTTAATTATGCAAATTAGTAAGGCCGGTATGTTTTTCCAAGAAAGGTGGCAACCCTAACTACTTTTCACATACTCTTACTTAAGAATGGAAACTTAAGAGGGATGTATGGGAACAAAACTTGTGTGGACTGGCTGACAATGAATATAGTTAAAGGGACACTAGAGTCACCAGAACAACTACAGCTTATTGAATTTGTTCTGGTGAGTAGAATCATTACCATCAGGCTTTTTGCTGTAAACACTGTCTTTTCAGAGAAAATGCAGTTTTTACATTACAGCCTAGTGATAACTTCACTGGCCACTCCTTAGATGGCTGTTAGAGATCCTTCCTGGGTCATGGCTGCCTAAAATGCATCCAAACATTCAGTGTCTCCTCCCTCTGCATGCAGACACTGAACTTTCCTCATAGAGATTCATTGATTCAATTCATCTCTATGAGGAGATGCTGATTGGCCAGGGCTGTGTTTGAATCATGCTGGCTCTGCCCCTGATCTACCTCCTTGTCAGTCTCAGCCAATCCTATGGGGAAGCACTGTGATTGGATTAGGCCACCACTTCTAATGATGTCAACAGACTGCTTGTTTTTATGAGTCTAACAGCATGCAGAGTTACAGCTTCAGGCTTGAATACAGTAAGATTTTGCTATATTTATGGAGGCATGAGGGACCCAGGGGGGCTAGATGGTGGTGTTAACACTATAGGGTCATGAATTCATGTTTGTGTTCCTGACCCTATAGTGATCCTTTAAGGTAATGCTGACTTTGGTCTCTCTAACACTGTTGCATGTTCCCTTTCTTCTACACTCACTACATACAGCTTTTCTCTGTCCCAGACTATATACCAGGAGCTTCTGCCTGCTAGTAAGAAGGTAAGGAGATAAGTGGACCAGCGAGTGCTAGGGGACAGTCCTTAGAAAGCGTTAAGCGAGCGCATCATTAGATGCATTTATGCCAAGCTCAAGGTGCTGTCTGCATAGTATGCCCTTAGTTGGCCAGCTGCATGATTGGCAGGCAGCCTGACATGCATTCATACCAGGCTGGCCTTCTAATTCTTTGGGCAGACATATCCTCTTTTTGGGCATGTTCGCCCCTTGTGATTTGTGTCAGTGGCACACCCTTTTACCATGCCCATTGGCTTCCTGCTTGACTGGACACTGCTGTTAGGGGTTATGGATTTACTTGAAAGATGAAAACATAAATTAGTGAGAGATTAGCATAGGGTATGTGTTTTCTTATAGCTGCTGTTTTCTTTCTCTCCAGCACCATCTCCATTAGATACATGACGCTTGGGAGTGTTTTACTGTTTTTGGTTGATATGATTCTGTAATTAGGCCCGTCATAATTGTCAGCACCAGGCCCACTGGGCTCTTAATCTGGCCCTGCATGTCTCAATGTCCCCATGTCCCCCAGTAAGTGTCTCTAGTGTCTGTGTCCATGGTATCTGTGTCCCCATGTCTTCAAGTGTCCCCTATTTTCCCAGTGTCCCCATGCGTCGAAGCCAGAGTCCCCTAGTCTCCCAATGTCACTGGTGTCTCCGTGTCCCTGGGTCTCCCCGTGTCCCCAGGTCTTCCCGTCTTCCTAGTGACATGGGGGCCCTGGGATACATGGGGACACAGGGAGACATGGGGCATTGAGACACTGTGATACATAGGATCACTGGGAGACCTGGGGACACGACACTAGGGGACACTGGGAGTCATGGGGCACTGAGACACTGATACATAGGAACACTGAGACCTGGAGTAATCGACACATGGGGGCACTGGGAGACATGGGGCCAATGGGAGGAATCCATCTATACAGCAGAATCAAACTAAGTAGTTTTTTGGTGATTTTACAGCATTTTCTCTTATGTCACTCCTTGTGATTTACATCATGTGATGTCACCCATACATATTTAATTATGCAAATTAGTAAGGCCGGTATGTTTTTCCAAGAAAGGTAGCAACCCTAACTACTTTTCACATACTCTTACTTAAGAATGGAAACTTAAGAGGGATGTATGGGAACAAAACTTGTGTGGACTGGCTGACAATGAATATAGTTAAAGGGACACTAGAGTCACCAGAACAACTACAGCTTATTGAATTTGTTCTGGTGAGTAGAATCATTACCGTCAGGCTTTTTGCTGTAAACACTGTCTTTTCAGAGAAAATGCAGTCTTTACATTACAGCCTAGTGATAATTTCACTGGCCACTCAGATGGCTGTTAGAGATCCTTCCTGGGTCATGGCTGCCTAAAATGCATCCAAACATTCAGTGTCTCCTCCCTCTGCATGCAGACACTGAACTTTCCTCACAGAGATTCATTGATTCAATTCATCTCTATGAGGAGATGCTGATTGGCCAGGGCTGTGTTTGAATCATGCTGGCTCTGCCCCTGATCTAGCTCTTTGTCAGTCTCAGCCAATCCTATGGGGAAGCACTGTGATTGGATTAGGCCACCACTTCTAATGATGTCAACAGACTGCTTGTTTTTATGAGTCTAACAGCATGCAGAGTTTCAGCTTCAGGCTTGAATACAGTAAGATTTTGCTATATTTATGGAGGCATGAGGGACCCAGGGGGGCTAGATGGTGGTGTTAACACTATAGGGTCATGAATTCATGTTTGTGTTCCTGACCCTATAGTGATCCTTTAAGGTAATGCTGACTTTGGTTTCTCTAACACTGTTGCATGTTCCCTTTCTTCTACACTCACTACATACAGCTTTTCTCTGTCCCAGACTATATACCAGGAGCTTCTGCCTGCTAGTAAGAAGGTAAGGAGATAAGTGGACCAGCGAGTGCTAGGGGACAGTCCTTAGAAAGCGTTAAGCGAGCGCATCATTAGATGCATTTATGCCAAGCTCAAGGTGCTGTCTGCATAGTATGCCCTTAGTTGGCCAGCTGCATGATTGGCAGGCAGCCTGACATGCATTCATACCAGGCTGGCCTTCTAATTCTTTGGGCAGACATATCCTCTTTTTGGGCATGTTCGCCCCTTTTGGCAGGTTACGTGATTTGTGTCAGTGGCACACCCTTTTACCATGCCCATTGGCTTCCTGCTTGACTGGACACTGCTGTTAGGGGTTATGGATTTACTTGAAAGATGAAAACATAAATTAGTGAGAGATTAGCATAGGGTATGTGTTTTCTTATAGCTGCTGTTTTCTTTCTCTCCAGCACCATCTCCATTAGATACATGACGCTTGGGAGTGTTTTACTGTTTTTGGTTGATATGATTCTGTAATTAGGCCCGTCATAATTGTCAGCACCAGGCCCACTGGGCTCTTAATCTGGCCCTGTATATATGAAAACCGAGATGCTTGCACTCCTGGATTAGAGAGTAATTGCCCGGTGCTGGTCAGGCACAAGATACAAAAAATGATTGGAAATGACCGCGCTCCAAGGACTTGATGATAATAAAAATAAAATATAACTTTAATTCTATATCATTTAAAAATATCGATGTTTCAGCCCCAATACATGGGCTTTCATCAGGATGGTTATATTTTATTTTTACTATCATCAAGTCCTTGGAGTGCGGTCATTTCCAATCATTTTTTTGTATCTTGTGCCTGACGAGCACCGGGCAATTACTCTCTAATCCAGGAGTGCAAGCATTTCGGTTTTCTTTTATTTATATATATATATATATATATATATTGTGACAAAACTTACTTCTCTGTGTGTGTTTGTCCAGGATCTTTTGGCAACTGCACAGCCCTCTAGGGTAAGGAAGCAAGGCCAAGACAAAGTCTAGTTTCAAAGGCCTCTGGCCTGTTTATTTTCTGTTGGTAAGAAGTAACAGGATACAGCAGGATACACCAAGCAGCAAAACCTTCTTTCTCCTCAAAACACTTGACTGGTGTATAGTTGCCATATGGGAGGTCGGAACCTTGGACAAAAACCCTCCACATACCTATCCCAATAACACGCTGACACTAGGGTATGTGGGTCAAATTGTCCACAGCTTTTATTAAACAAATATAATAACGATAATAATAATAACAATCATAATAATGATAATAATAATTTAACATATAAACATGGGTCATTGCCCCCTACTTCTTCTCCACTGCTTACTCCAATAGCTGTTCAGGAGCAAACTGGAAACTTCAAGACAGCAGGCATGAATACAAGATGATACACGAATATACCATCACCCTTCCCAATAACTGGACGACACTCAGTATTAGGAGCAGAACTGATCCTTTAATGGCCAGGCTGGCTTTTTATGCAGATTTTGCCCCAAAGGTTACCTCCCAGGTAACATTAAATATATACATCAACCAGTAAAAACAGAGTTGAGTTACAAGACACTCCCAAACACTGTATACCCTCTACTCAGGGGATAATTGAGTTACATACTGTATAAGCTCAATTATCCTAAAACAGATAAATCACACTTTTCTGAAAACAACCCAAAAACATATCCTTCATTCATAATTCCAACATACTGAAAAATCACCCAGATCGGTTCAGGGGTTCGAAAGTTTTATAGAGGTCTTAGTTTTACCAACCGCACACAAGGTGTAATCCAAGAATAGTTCCATGAGTTTTGGGTGTGTGGTCGGTCTCCGTTCAGGAAGATGAAATAAATGAAAATATACAACAGAATGTTTCATGTCTTCATTCGTTTAATTTCCCTCATTCGTATGGTTCTTTTTACTGAACACCACTCTGTTCCCTTGGGTTCCCACGAACTTGTGCAAGGATGGAAGTCTCTGCGGTATTCATGCCATTGCTTGTCTGATTTGGGTTCCAGACACTTGACGACCACACACCGCTGGGGCCATTCGTATGTTAAGATGGCCGCCACCACGTGTTCGTATGCCGAACGGCGGCCACTCAGGAAACACCTAGTTAGTTAGTGCGGTTGGCAATTAAAGTAGTGTGAATACAGTTGGGGAGGTCCATTGATGCCATGCTACTTTCCTGGGTGGCCTGGTTGTTCGGTAGTTTGTTCATTTGTCAAACAGTTTGGTGTAAAATAGTTGATATAGGATTCTTACCGAACAATCAGATGAACGAGAGTTAATATTACAGTGTTACTTGTTTCCTCATGTAACCAACAGGGCATAAATAGGGTGGGTGGACAGCCCTTAGCAAAAGGAAAGTACTGTGGTGAAACCCTATCGCTACAAACACTCATTGTAGGTCTGTAAGAATGGTCCCACACCACCAGGTCTACCCTGTGGTCAAAAGTATAAAATGGTGGTGGGAATGTATCCTTGCTGTTGCTAAGGACAAGCAACGGCAAAATATCCAGCGCATAGGTATGACTCTACACAGGCAAAATTCCATTTGCTCAACAGGGACTGCAACTGCCTTAGCTGGACCTTAGAGAAAGCCAGAATTTTGGCTACAAGCAAATTTAGTTCTATAACTTTGTTGTAAGGAAGGCAGTCTTCTATATCCAGTCTATCTTTATGCCCAGAAATTTTATGGTTGTAGACGGACCCTCCTTTTTGTCTGGGGACAAAGAGACATTAAAACAGTACATAATGTTTTCAATGGTCTGCAACAGGGTAAGGCATAGAGAGGAGTTGGACTGGTAAACACACAGAAAATCATCAAGATAGTGAATTATTGATGCCGTGCCGGATTCCTTTCTAATAACTGACTCCAAAAAGGAGCTAAATGCCTCAAAGTAGAAGCATGAAATAGCATACCCCATGGAAAGACACATGGTTACAAAAATGCCACCTTCCGACCAGGGACGTTTTAGCTGCGAGGCAAACAAGGCATTTGCCTTGGGCATCATTTTCCAGGGTGCGGCAAAAAAATCCGCCCCCAAATGCCCAGGGCAAATGTCTTGTTAGCCTTGCGGCTAACTGACATGCCGGGCGGGCGGCGCTGGCAGGCGTCTGGCGAGGGAGCACTTCCTCTGAGCTGTGTGCTCAGCTCCCTCGCGCGCTGCAGAGTGATGCTGGGAGCCGGTATATGACGTCATATTCCGGCTCCCAGCCTCACTCTGCGGCGCGCGAGGGAGCTGAGCAGACAGCTCAGAGGAAGTGCTCCCTTGCCAGACGCCCGTCCGCCCAGCAGCCACTGGACCCCCAGGGAGAGAGAGAACCCCCCCCAGCATTCCCAAAGGTAAGGAGGCTGGGGGGGGGTTAAATTAAAAAAAAAATGTGGTAATGTGAGTGAGTGAGTGTGTGTGTATGTCTGTTGGTGTCTGTCTGTTAGTGTGTGTGCGTGTGTCTGTTAGTGTGTGTGTGTGTGTGTGTCTGTTAGTGTGTGTGTCTGTTAGTGAGTGTGTGTGTGTCTGTTAGTGTGTGTGTCTGTTCGTGAGTGTGTGTGTGTCTGTTAGTGTGTGTGTCTGTTAGTGAGTGTGTGTGTATCTGTTAGTGTGTGTGTGTGTGTCTGTTAGTGAGTGAGTGTGTGTCTGTTAGTGAGTGAGTGTGTGTTAGCTAGTGTATGCGTATCTGTCAGTGAATGTGTGTGTGTGTATTTAGAAGGCGGGGGAAGGGTTGGGTGGGAGTGGCGCGGGGGGGGGGGGAGAAGAGAGGGGTGTCTGAGTTTTGTTCTGCCTAGGGCAGCACAAAACCAGGATACACCACTGCCTCCCACCGACATCACAAAAGCAATCCGCAGTAGCCTGGAAGCAGCTTCTATTTTGTTTTTTAGCTAATAAGGAACCCTTTCCTATGTGTAGTGCTAATCGGTATCATTTTCTCCTCCCACCAGTACATGATTAGGACAAATGTTGTCAAATCTGAGAGTTTGAAGTCACCATGTTAAAGTCCAACTGCACCATTTAAGTACTTACTTATTGTGAGGTATTTCTGACCAATGTGTGCAGTCACTTTCCTCCCCCCCCCCCACTTTAAGGCAGATAAGATGCCCCCATCAGGCATGTGCCTACAAGGAAATCCAGCTCTTGGCTTCTAGTTTGTGCACAGACATGGGATAGCTGTATTCTAGGGTTTGCACAGTGTACAGTTGCTACTTGGCTATAGTGTAATTTACTGGTTATTGAAATGTGTGTGATTAAATGACTTACGAAGCATACTAGCTGTTTATCTTCGATGTTCAATTGATTTCAGTTGACTTAATGGTTACATGTGTTAATTAACTAGAGCTGCTAGCTGCAAAAAAAAAAAAATACTACTTAGTGTGCTGTAATTTTAAAAGTGAACTTGAGCTCCCACTGCCTACTAAGCATGTCCAGAGTAAAAGCAATAAAACCTAAAATAAATTTAGAAAACAAACAACAAGTAGACTTGAGAAAAACAAACTTGAGAAAAACAAATTTAGAAAACAAACAACAAGTAGACTTGAGAAAAACGGCACCAGCAATATTGAATATATTTATATAGCGCCAGCAAATTCCATAGCGCTGTACAATGGGTGGACTAACAGACACGTGATGGTAACCAGACAAATGGACGCACAGGAACAGAGTGGTTGAGGGCCCTGCTCAATGAGCTTACATGCTAGAGGGATTGGGGTACAGTGATACAAAGGGTATAAGAAGGGGTAATGAAATAGGTTGCTTAAAAAAAATATTCACTGAGAACTTATTTTTGACAGTTGCAGGAGAGGAGTCATGGGGGGAACAAGGGGAATGAAGACCCACTAACAGTTTAAATGATATGCTTTCCTGAAGAAGTCTGTTTTCAAAGATTTTTTGAAGGAGTGGAGACTGGGTGAAAATCTAACGGAGAAGGGAACAGAGTTCCACAGAAAAGTTGCAGCCTTGGAGAAGTCTTGGAGGCAAGCATCAGACGAGGCCCTGGGGAGATAGCGCAGCTAAGCGGACAAGGGCACATGTAGGAGTGTGGGGATAGATGCATGGGATTGGAAGGGAAAGAGTGTGTGGGTGGGATTATGTTCTGTGTAAGTTAGTGTGGGGGAGGTCTTACCTCAGTGCCACTTGGGATTCGGGCCAGCAAACAGCTTCCTGTCCTCCTGCTCCTGTTTGCCTGGGCCTGCAGACTGACACAGCTTGAGGGATGGAG